AGCACTTGAAATATACAGAACACTTCAAGGCATCTTTTACCAAAACAAAACCAGGCAAGGCAGTTTTCTTTCAGCACAAGTCAGGCTGGGCAGCCAAAGAAAAACCGTTAACTGCATTTAACGACTTGAGCCCTAACAAGTGAGAACGGAGTTAAAGTCAGTAACATTATAAAGCTAGCAAGACAAATTTTGAGAACGCGTTAACTGACTTTTATGATAGACCTCACAGGAAAAGAGTAAGATATCCATCAACTCATTCTGCTAGAATTAATAGTAGCAACAAAACAAAGGAAAAATAAGTTAAATTGACATAGCCCCATGTAATCTGCATACATACGATATAATAAAGATTTTTTCTAATTAGGACAAAATTTAATTGTTTTTCTTTCCCATCGTTTGACATAATAATCACGGAATGGTTGAGGTTGGAAAGGACCTCTCGACCAAAGCCCCTGCTCAAGCAGGGACACCTAGAGGCACTTGACCAGGATCATGTCTACATGGCTTTTGAATATCTCCAAGGATGAAGATCATATAATCTCCGTGGGCAACCTATGCCACTGCTTAGTCATCCTCATAGTAAAAAAACAGTGTTTCCTGATGTTCAAAGGGAACCTCCCATGTTTCAGGTCGTGCCCATTGCCTCTGGGCACCACTGAAAAGAATCTGGCTTCCTCCTGTTTACACCTTCCCTCCAGGTATTTACAGACATTGATAAGATCCTCCTGAGTCTTCACTTCTCCAGGCTGAACAGCCTCAGATCTCTCAACCTCTCCTCACAGGAGAGATGCTCCAGTCCCTTCATCATCTTTGTGGCCCTACATTGGACTCTCTCCAGTATGCCTGTGTCTCTCTTGTAGCAAGGAGCCCCGAACTGGACCCAGCACTCCAGCTGCTGCCTCATCAGTGCTAAGTAGAGCGGAAGGACCACCTCCCTCAACCCGCTGGCAACATTCTCCTAATGCAGACCAGGATACCATTGGCCTTCTCTGCTGCAAGGGCACATTGCTCGTTTATAGTCAACTTGGAGTTTACCAGGATCTCCAGGGCCTTTTCTGCAAAGTTGCGTTCCAGCTGGTCAGACCCTAGCCTGTACTGGTGCATGGGGGGGTTGTTCCTCTCCAGGTGCAGGACTTTGCACCTCTTGTTGAATTTCACAAGACTCCTGTCAGCTTGTAGCCAGCTCCCTCAGCACTCGTGGGTACGTTCCATCAGGGTCCATGGACTTACGTATGTTCAGTTTACCCCAGTATTCCCTGACCTGATGATCTTCCACCAAGAGTACCGAAGGAAAGATGTCTAAAATGAAAGACCAGTGTCCTATAGCAAGTCAAAACTACTTTAACTGACAGATAAGAAGCCTAATCTTAAAATATACACAAAGTACTTAACTGCTCCAAACAGAATTTTATAGTACTTTCTGAAAAAAAAGCATAGGTAGCGCAGCTGACACAAAAGAAAGTGAGAGGAATGTTTATTTCCATAAATTAGTTGTAAGAAATTCATATTCAGACCTCTGTGAAAACAATCTGAAGAGAATCCATAACATGCATTGCCAATGAACATAATTCCTTCCTTCTGAAATACTAAAATCATGACCACTCAAATACCTTCTTCAACTGGACAAAAAATTCCAACTGTAACAAACCACCTGTGTTAAAATTATTCACAGTCTATGAAGCATAACCGCTTAGGTTTCATGGATTAAACACTTCAACATTATAGGTCTGAATGATCAGGAATAATGAGTGGATGAAGGTGTAAGATTAAGAATACCTACAAATAACCATGGCTCTCAGGTAGACATCCATATATCAGAGCAATAATACAGAACCTTTCACTTCTTATTCTACCCTAGCACTTGAGAAGCAGTTACTAGTTTTACCATCAACATGCATGTAAGCGTCAGAATGCAAAAAAGGCTTTATAAGCAAGCTGACACACCTCAACGTCCGCAGCTCCTGAAAGATGATTCTAGGCTAGCACTGTTTATCACGGGTAACATCAGATTTTATCTGAGCTCCCACAATGACATGCTGTCAGCATCCATGCTGATGATGTATCTGTCAAAGATTTTTCCTTCTGAAAAAACATGCTGAGACAATGCTCATTTTTTAATCCTAAAAGAGCTCATCTTGCTCTGTCGAAGGGGCAAGAAGAGCCTATATAAGGCTACACAGCTTACTAGCAGTGCTTGTGCAGATGCTGGCATGCATACTTTACTGCAGGCTGGTGTAAGAGAAATGGGAATCAAAACCTTTTGCCTGCCATTCTAACAGAAAAAAGACAGGAATACAATACAGTGGCATTTCAGCAGACAAAACAAACAATTTTTTTTCCTTACATTTTCTTCTGGATCAAAATTTCCATATTTACCCCAGCTTGTTACTGACATGTTGTTAGTGCAATAAGCATCTATATCAAGGGTAAAGTACAGCCAAAGAACATTACCATGAATTCTGGTAAAGAGAACATTATCTACTTTATATATTAAACACAGACTAAAAGGTGATTGGACTGTATTCAGTGTTAAATATGGACAAAGGTTTCCTTAGCCTCAACAACAAAAAACCCTCTATTAATAAGATGGTATAACACTGAATAACTCCATCCAAAGATACTAATACTTGTATTTAGCTTAAGCTTTAAAATCTAGCAGTCTGAGTCCAAGTCAGTCATATATGTCTAATAGTAGCTCATAATTCTACAAGCATAAAGTCTTAAGAATCTACTGATAGTGTTATTCATCCCAAAGCTTTCTCACCATTGAAATAACAAAAGCAACAAAAATATTTTACTACTGCTAACATGAACATTTAAAACAGCAAATTATGATAAAGTCCTGAAACAACTCAGTAATACGTACAAGCAATTTTTCAGTACAGATGCAATATTAACAATTTAGCTCAGGGCTGTGTTATAAATCCTTCCCACTGGAGCAACTATTCTCTTTACTTGCATGAGGTAGGATAACTACTGAATTTGATAATTAGAGAGGTTCTTAGATTTCAAAGAATACTAGTAGATTTGAACAACAGAACTAAATAAACAAGTAACTTCTCCCTTTCTTTCTCCTTTTAAACTTGCTTTGTATTTTAACCTGCTATAGCTTACAAAAGGTTTCAGTGATGCTGAAAAACTCAGGTCTGCTGTTTAAAATATGCAAAATTCAGTAGCTTAAAATATGTGTGCATCCTCAAATACAAAATTTCCAACTGGATACACCTTTCTGATCTGAATTGCAACATACAAGATACTCTTCAAACTCTACAGCAGTGATCAGAAGACTTGTAATCATCGCAGATGGCAGCTGTAGGGGCACATAGAAAATCAGTCTTTCCACAGAAAGATCTGACCAAAAGCTGTTACTTAGCAATTTTCCTGGTGTGCTCCAAGAACTGGGTATAAGAGACCAGACCCCAACATTAAACAGAACACCACAGCTCTTGTAGTTTTCACTGGTTTCCTTGCAAGTAGTATCCCAACAGTATAACAAAGTAACGTTAAAAACACATTCACAGCCACTTGATGCCAATTCATTTTTGTACCAATCCTATCCTTTAGACTACGTAACTTTTGTATTCCCTAGTGCTTATCTCTTCTGACATATTTATAGATAGCAATCAGATCCCTTTTTAGTCTTCATAAGATAAACAAGCCAAGCTATTCTACTTCACTTATGTGAATAAATTTTTCTTTGCACTATTCCCATTTGGGTTCATTTCCTCCGACTAGGTGTTGCCAGGGTCGCATTCTCATAAAGCTTGATCTATGCCATAAGCCTTGACATTAATAGCTCGCTCACTACAAAACTACAGTCTCATATTTGCCCCATTTCATGACTCATCACACTCGCAATAAACCTGTGATTAAGTACTAGTCTCTAGTTCTACTCCTTCATGACTTCCAACTACAATGAGAAAACAGCAGTTCTATTAAACGCACTAATCTTTTTTGCGTTCATCACATCTCCTAACTCTGCATTACCAATGAGCTCTATCAGCACAGTCCCATCCGTATTAAGGTCATTAATGAAGATACTAAACCAAGTTCAAACATGACACTGGTCCATCCTTTAGAAATGTCATTAAGCTTCCAATCCCCCAACAGCTGTGATACAGTTTATTTTATAGCTTGTCCCTTCTCCACCTTACATTTTTCCATTAAGCTCTTTTACCTGCAATTTAATTATTAGTTTTGCAGATACCTCTGTATCAAGTAATTTATATTCAGATCATGGAACAGACTGTCCTGGAAGATATGTCAAAACATATGGAAGACAGAGAGGTGATCAGAAACAGTTAACATGGCTTCTCCAAGGGCAAATCGTGCCCGACTAATCTAGTGGCCTTCTACGATGGACTGATGGCATCAGTGGACAAGGAAAGAGCTACAAATGTCATCTACCTGAACTTCAGTAAGGCCTTTGATACAGTCTCAACCACCATTCTTACCTCTAAATTGGAGACATACAGGTTTGACGGAAGGACTATTAGATGAATAAGGAACTGGCTGGGTGGTCATGTCCAAAGAGTTACACTCAATGCCCCAATGTCCAAGGGGAAACCAGTAACAAGTGGCGTCCCTCAAGGTTCTGTACTGGGACCAATACTATCCAATGTCTTCATCAATGACACAGTGGGACTGAGTGCACCTCAGCAAGTTTGCAGATGACACCAAGGCGAGTGGTGACCTTGATTTGCTCAAGGGAAGGGATGCCATCTAGAGGGACCTGTATCATCTTGGAGGGTGGGTGTCGGGGAAGTTTCCTGGCTGCTATATGGGAAGCACCTGTGCCTTGTTGAGACAGGTGCTGTGAGTCACCGTGGTCAGCTGGAGACCACGTGACCTATGGGAGGTTTAAAGGTGGGGCACTCCCAAGAGGGAGTGGGGGCATTTCCCTCCTAGAGTGTGGAGTGGTAGCAGCCCCTGGAGAGCGGTGTTTTGTAGCTCTGTTAGAAGTCTTTGATTGTGGTATAGACCTTTGGAGTGAAACAAACCTTCTGATATACGAGGGGAATCACAACGGCCTTCTGGGTTGTGACTCCCGAAGACGAGATACCAGCGGTCCACGACAGGTGGGCCCATGTGAACCTCATGAAGTTCAACAGACAAAGTGCAAGGTCCTGCATCCGGGTCAAGGCAATCTTCAATAGCAATATAGACTGGGGGACAAACGGACTGAGACCAGCCCTGAGGAGAAAGACCTGGGGATACCGGTGGATGAAGAAAAATCTAACATGAGTCAGCAACGTGCACTTGCAGCTCAGAAGATCAACCATATCCTGGGATGCATAAATAGAAGTGTGACCAGCAGGTCGACAGAGATGATGGTTCCCCTCTACTCTGTTCTTGTGAGACACCCCACATGGAGTATTGCATCCAGCTCTGAGACCCACAGTACAAGAAAGACATGAACCTATTAGAGTGGGTCCAGAGGAGGGCCACAAAAACCATCTGAGAGCTGGAATACCTCTCCTACAAAGAAAGGCTAAGAGAGCTGGGGCTGTTCAGCCTGGAAAAGAGAAGGCTCCAGGCAGACGTTACTGAGGCCTTTCACTATGTAAAGGAGGCTTATAAGAAAGACAGACAGAGACTCTTCACTGGGGCCTGTAGTGACAGGACAAGGGGCAACAGAGTTAAACTGAAAGAGGATAGGTTTAGATTGGACATAAGGAAGAATTTTTTTATGATGAGGGTGGTGAGACACAGGGACAGGTTGCCCAAAAAAGTTGTGGAGGCCCCCTCCCTGGAAGTGTTCAAGGTCAGGCTGGATGGAGCCTTGAGCAACCTGATCTAGTGGAGGGTGTCCCTGCCCACAGGAGGGAGTTGGACTAGATGATCTTTAAAGGTCCCTTCCAATTCAAATCATTCTATGAATCTATGAAATAATACAATGACATCCAGTAAATCCAGTGGCAAGATCAGATATTATTTGGGGATGCATACAGAAGAGATGGAAAAAAAAAAAAGACACAGAGAGAGAAGGAGGCCTCAGATAAGAATGGTACATTCTACCTAGGACACTCATGCTGCATTTTATTCCACGTTCCATTTACCTCCATGTCTTTAATTATTCTTTCCTCTAAGGCTTTGCATACTATCGAGGTCAGACCTGTTCAAGCATTGAAGTGTCAAATTAAGAATTACTTCAAGTGAGACCTCATTTTGAGAAGCACAGGAGGGAAAAATTCTGATATGACTATCTTCTTATAATTCAGGCAAACAATTATTTTTCTTTTGCTTTTCTTCCTTACTCATGTTATTAAAAAACAAACACCTTAAGTCCTACACCAGGATAATATTCAGCAACTATCTTAACTCTCAAGACTTTGTTCATATAGAAATAAATTGAAAATATTTATTTTAAATAATCATGTATTTCTAAATATTTTCAAAACATAAAATGAACCATGACATCTACATTGCCAAATATTTCACAATGCAATGAAACAACTGTATACAATACAAAAAAAAAAACCAAAACACCTAGCACTAAAAGGCAAGAGAAGCTAAAGAGGTCAAGATCACTATGCAACAGATAAAGTCTTACTATCTTAAGGAAAACAAAGTCACTATAACTCTAACTTGTGTTTCTGCATTTTTATTTTCAACAATACCATATCATAAATTATCTCAGTAGAGTAAATTTGCTTTTTTTTTTTTTAAGAAATTAGCTTGTACACACTTATCTGGCTCATTTGACAATAAAAGCCTTGTAATTCTACAACTTTCACACTGGAAAATGTAATACTTATCTAATTGGTCAGTGATTTTTTTTTTTCCATTTCACACACAGCAAGTTCTCTCCAGCAGCTTTTTCTAACTTGAATTTATGGCTTGTAAGCTAAGCATGTAATAACCCTTTAACGACTGATAGTCACAAAGATCTAGTTAACAAACATCTCCCAAAGACAAAGTTGGTCAGAAAGTAAAACATTGACAAACCACAGTCAAGTTGAAACAGGAACAATTTATAATACCACAATGGACAGTCAGTGCACTAAATATTCAGACCTATTAGCTAACGCATAAAACAGCTCCTCTTGTTCATGGCAAGTTTCTACTTTTCAGCTTGGCCTTGAACAATGGTACAGTGTTTATGTATAATAAAGTATTTTTTACAATATTAATAATGATGTATTACAGTGATCTACAACACTTGCTTAGGCTATCAACAAGCATAACGAGTAGGCACTTTATACTAATTACAATGTAAAGGTGAAGCTTTTATACCAATGCCTACACTTCAAGTACAAGACGGTGAGGTTTGGATAGTGTTTTCCTGCTTAGTGAAGATGGAACACTAAGGAAGAGAGACCTATAAATTGCAGGTAAAAGACAAAACTTATAAATCTTCACTGCTGTATACCTCTATCATCACAGGAAAATTCTCTATTATTGAATCTTAAAACAAACGGCAAGCTAGATCTGCCAAAATATAATCTAACACCTATAACACACCTGACTTCACAGATCAATACAACTCCTTTTTATTAGTCAGTTTTAAATGCAGTCTAACCCCATGGTAGAAACACATGTATTAACATAATATCACCTCATAAGCAACACCTGGTAAAAAAATTATCTTCCTTCACACCAATCATTTTGTGTCTCAATTTTCATTAATACCTATAATTTTTTAAAAATTTAAAATACTAACAATTATTACATTTAAGCCAAGAAACAATGGATAGAAGTACAGATGCATGCAGAGAGTAAACAATTCCAAGAATCCTTGGATTTTTAAGAAAAAAAGAAAAAAGACTACTTGTTGAATACTGAGTCATTCTATGGCATGTTCAATCTCTGCCATTACACAACACTCAGTCAGCAAAAATATTAACTTAAATGGAATCATTTCAAAGTATCAAAAAAACACAACTGTGTTAGTTATCACTTAAAACCAGTTTTCCCCCTCTACACTCCCATTGTTTAGTTTCAAAAATATTCTTGAATGAAGACACCAAAAAATTGACATCCCAATCGCCTTTTTTTAACCTATCGTAGAAAGTCGAGACGTCACAAATTTGCTGGTACCACGAATAGAGTGAAAACAGGCATAAAATTTGACATAATCAAGACACACAAACAAGGAAGCAAGATCACATTTGAGGACTTCAAACTCTGCTTACACTAAAAGATATCCTGGGCCAATTCTGGCAACAGACCTTGAGGGCAGGGGATGGATTTAACGTTGAGCTATTTTTACCTTTAAATTCCACCTTCTCGATTTGCAGCAACACATAGCCTCTGGCTTTCAACGTTACCAATAGCAGTGTAACGATTACAAAATAATCTACAGCAATATTTTGGTATTATTTAAAAGGCTGTCAAAATCTGTATTTCAGAATGAGCCGTAATACTTCAGTGAAATGCTCTCTACTCCACCTGGCAAGAGTCATTCGAACACATACCAGCTGACAGCTGATTTCATACACTAACAATCCTGAATTATGAATCAGATTAATAATCGGACATTAAACATCACCTGTCAGACTGATGTCTCCCAGTAACTCAAACCATCAAAGGTAAAATTTATTGCACACAGACATGCTCAAAAGTTGATTTTGATCTGCTTACTTGCTGTCTTATTTCTAGCCTCAAGGTAATTAAAAAAAAGGAAAAGTGCACCTCGTTATTTTGAGACCTTTACAAAGGCAAAGTAACTGGATTTCACACGCTTGCAAGCAGGAACTTCAATAAAGGATATCAATATAGAATATTCAGACATTTTTATAATGTCTGATCATTGCTAGTCAGGCACCTCTGAATCACATGCAATTCAAATTCTGAACACTGTCTACTAATCTTCCAAGTCTCATCAAATCAACTAGTGTTGATTTTCAATTAGGTATTGCAGAAGCATGTCTTATGACTGGTTTAAAGATCTGGCAAAGGTTTTTAAAAATAACTATCATCCAACACCAACTTAAATACATGTTACAACTGCAAGGCTGGCTTCTTTGACTTAAGGAAGACCTAGTTCCCAACACAATGCTAGAAACCTTTGAACTGAAAACTTCCAAGTGCTGCTATTTAGCTACACAACTGGTTTTTCAAAAAAATATTTTTAAAAAAAATTTACTCGCAAAGAACCAATTCCAGATTACCATAACCTTTACTAGAGTTACAGTGATTATATGCATGAGTCACATGAAAAGACCCCAATAAGATGTTCCACCTTTCAAATGAGTTGCTTTTAAGTGTCTCATGTTTCAATTCTTCCTATCCAGTCTTAAACAAATCCAAACAACTTCAGACTTGAGAAGCTAAACAAAATACATTAGACTAAAACACAGAAGAAAGCTAACCTACAGGATTAATATGGCTGAAGACCTAGATACAAGAACCATGAGGCAAATTCTCAGTGCTCCATAATGAAACTCTTTCAGAGGTATTATGTAGTGCATCAACTGCCTCTTAGTTTCATCACTTTTAAGTATAATTTTTCCCCTTGTCACATTTGCACAACACTGAAATGTACTTATTTGTTTTGTGGGTTTTCTTGGGTACTCCTGATGGTTCCACAATCCAAAGAAATCTAGTTATCACAGAAGCAGAAGGAATTAATCAGACTCCAAAACGCTATTAATGACTGAATTTCTAGGAATGCGAGGTACTCTAAAAACAAGATTCTAATCTTTCAGTCACCAAGGGAAATATGTAATGTGTTAGCCACCATGGGACATGTTCTTTAGACCTCCCCCTGAGTTTTGTGGAATAAAATACAGGATAAACATATTATACCTTACTTTTGCTGATCGAGTAAAGTAGATTAGGGGGAAAAAAAAAAGCCATAAATCAAACAAATTAAAAAACCAACCAAGCAGAGTTTCATCAGGTAATGATGAATTTAAAACTTTGCCAAACAATTCCATAAGTCCTATGTGTTTTTTAATTTAAATCATTGTTTGCATGGAGGGCATATTAACACATTTCACTGTTAATCTAAAGATCAGCAAATCCATTACAAGTTCCTGAGGAGAGAAAACCAACAGAACTATTTGTTCAGTTCAGACGTTTAGACTTAACCTGTATCTCTGTTACATATGCATCAACAGTATTAGGTAAATAGTAATAATGGA